AAAGAAACAAACTTATTACTTCAGAGGAATTGAATTTTTATAGAAAAATTATATCCACCTTAGAAATTTTCTGTTTGTCCCTTGCTCAGTGGTTTTATGTTATATACTCGGCCAGCATGATATCGAGCAGTAGTGATATCCAATTGTACTTGGAATCTATATTACTAAATGAAAATAGACCTTACCGGCATTGCTGCAAAAAAATAATTAGGTAAAAGTACTAATTATGTTATATCTATCTCAACTGGAAATGACGATCATTGGGTAACAGTTGTATCTACTAAGAAAATTAACACTCCTTAATAAAAAATGTGTTAATCAATTGATAATGAACATTCTAAAAATATTGTACAATAGCAATAAAATAAATTGCAATGATAACAAAATGCAATTTAAAAAATAATTGAAGGCGTGATGTTTTTCAAGTGGATTTCAAGAGTAATACTTGAATATGTGTTTGCTTTCACATATACACATAAATATGTATAAAATTTATTGTAGTATTCGTTTATTATTTGATACACCTATATTATATTTAATATTTACATGAAGAATAATCATTATTACTGTTTGTGCTATGAATCATTGTGTTCAAGAGTTTTATCTTGGATTTTTCAACAACGTTTAATTAAGATATGCACATTACTTGTATGCAATCATTTCTTATGAATTTAGTACATTATTCATACCTGCCCAGTCAAGTGCAATTTAAATTTGAAAAAATATAAATTTGAATGTGCAAAAAATTATATATTTAAATATTGGTGGGTATATGTTAGTGGTGCAAACATTACTTGTATAAAATTCACTTGGGAATAATAAAAATTTGCTTATTTAAAAGACAAAAATGCTAGAGAATACAGTGCAAATTATGTACAATTTGATCAAAAATAGCTTTGCAACAAATATTAATATAGTGCTTACTTGAATATTTTTAACCATGTATAAAATATTTAAAATATTTATTATTCAATAAAAACTGTGAGTTGCTTATAGATATTTGTAAATATCAAGCATGTTATAATGTGCAGTACAATTTTCAATGAATTATAGAGGCATATTTAAATACTTAATGTTGTGAAATATATTGTGCGATTTCTGGACATATTCCTGGACTACTTTTTAGAATGTTTCTTTCATGATTGATTCATTCCTTTTAGGATTCAGCCTAAAAATTTAGGACAAATGCTTATTATAATATTCATTTCCTTCGTTCGCGAAGAGATGCCTTCAAAAAAATTTGTGAATATTATTTAAAAGAAATCAAAGATGATACACCTATTTCAATATTGGAGTTCTTTGAAAGGCAGATCCAAAGACAATTTGAAGGGTATAAAGAAATTTTGGATCGGTTGAATGAAATCAGCTCAGAACCACAAGATAGAGAAGCTGAGGTTTTGATAAATAATTTGCACAAAATAGTTTTGGCAAAAATTGCTGAACAAAAAGAAAAAATGGCTTTGGAGCAATAGCCTGAAACTTAAGAATATAGAACAACACTGCCTTAGATCATCACAACTATTTGAGCATCACTTAAATTTATTTATTAATACTTAATTATATTTATTTTATTTATCATTTCTTAATTATATTTATTTTATTTATTATTACTTATCATTTTAAAATATTAAGTTGCATATGAGATTATTAATTGTTAAATGGAATATTTATAATTTTATTAGTGTTACCGAAATGACATTATTTTAATATCATGAATACATAATATACTTTGTTTTAAGTTTGCTTATTATATTAAAATTGTTTCAGCACTAAATATAAGTGGCTTAGAAACAAACTGATTTAAAATTATTTATCACAAATAAAAGACATCAAAAAGGCTCTTGATTTTAATGAAGTCTTTAATGGTGCAAAAATTTTCCTATACTCATTCAGACCATTATTTAGTCTTGACCTTTATATAAAATGTCGTTAGCTAATATCATATATTTAATGTATTCTGAGTAATCCAGTATGAAAAAACAAGGAAATCCATTTATGTGCAGACTATAGTCACCATCATTATTCCAAAAATGCACTCAAAGCTTCTATGGTATCAAATTACTAGAACAACTAGCCTCTGTTATAAAAGTTGGATGGCTGGTAATAAAAAAGTATGCGTTTGTGAAATAAACTTCTATTATATTCTTTTGATATTTTAAATTCAGAAAACATACTTTATCTATAATTTTCAAGTGAAAAATGGTATTACTACTACTGGATATCAGAGCGTATGTAGCATAGGATTTGAATCATGTCCACTTACATTTTCTGTGTCATATTATGAATATATATATATATATATATATATATATATATATATATATCTGTGAGATTAGTCCGTTTTTTGGATATGTTTTGAGCAGTTGCATAAAAATTATTTATCAAAAATAAACTTATTAGGTATGCAAATCTGTATTAAAATTTCTGAGCATTTTATAAATTTGAATATGTCCTGAAACATTTCTTATTTGTTTTTATACTGCCAATGGCCCACTTGTATTCCCACATCACTCCTCGTTTAGTGTTGCCCCAAAGTAATAATTTTAATTTAAAACTTTGGAATTAATACTGATTTTTTTTTTCCCTTTCTCTGAGATATTTTTTTGCAATAAATTGTCCAGCCCCTGGTTTACGAGTGGATTTGTCAGATGGCACGGATGCGATTAATCTTTTTGCTGATGTGTGCAGAATGGCGATAGATATCGGTCATTAAACGCAAGTCCTTTCAAACAAAAGGACCATGTGTGCTTTATTTTATTAAGGATAACAGTGGTGGTCAACTGTATTGATTTTTTTGTTGAAGATATTTACTGAATAGCTATTTGAAAGATAACTTAGAACAACGAATAGGTAATGATCGATAAACGAAAAGGGTGTTTTTGAAAATAAATAGGAGAGATAATATGAAATTTAGAATTTTTATCTTTAATCGCATACACGTATTTATAACCATAGGATTTCTTTGGTTACAAAACTTATAGATTTTTGTTGACATATTATTCAAAACTATATTGTATCAACATTTTTTTTGACGAAAGCGATATGGACAAAATATTTTTTACCAAATATTTTAACTATATATATTACTTGTTGTGATAGTCTTGTCTTTCTAAAAAATACTCTTATATTTAATTTTCATTATTTATTATATACTAACAATCGTAGCCAGCATTTTTTTTGGACCAATCAATGACTTGAACACGTAAAATGTTAATAAAACTATAATTAATTAAAAAAAATCATTTTATGATTCAATAAGCAAATATGATATCAAATAGATGCGAAATTTCTATATCTATATAATTATTTTTTTCATTACCAATTATAGTTTATATTATATGGATAAACAACTTATATTAAACAAAAACATACAGAATTAGCAAACGTGCTCTTGATAAATATAAATATTTTGTTTTTTATGATCAATGTTATTGAACGTACTTCTCTTATATTATTTTATAAGAGATTAATTCTTAATATTTGACAAATTTTGTAATCACATCAAATTATTAAGTATCTTGAATGAAATAAGTAGGCGATTAAGGATTTAAAAGATTTCTTCAAGAAAAACTCCAAACTTATGTAAAGTTTTTTTAATTCAACCAAATCGGAGGACTACAATAAATTAGTATGTTATTTCAGACTATGAGATCTGATCAAAGTTCCATCAAAATCACCAAATAGATTTTATTTTTTTCACATTTAATTACAAAAAAAGGCCCGGCTGATCTTCACCCAAATCTAATCAACACCACTACCAACAAATATCTTCTGAACAGTTTCTTATTTTTTAAAATTGATTCAAGATTGTGAACTATAATGCTTTTTGTTTTTTTTTGATTCAACAATATATTAACAACTGTCCTACATAGACATTAAGTAAATCTTTGGCAATTATATATAAAACATGACATCGATATATAAATAGTGAAAAATACACAGTTGCATTTTTTCTTTATAAGAAGTAATATAATGTGACACGAGTAATTACAAGCTAATTAAATCACCAAATATTGAACTAGATTATAATAGTGAACTATAATGTGGACGAAAAATTTTACACTTATTATAAAGAAATGGCTTGGCTGATCATCGCGCAAAACTGATAAGCCTTAGTCTTTATCAAGTTAGTTACATCAAATGACTTCTTAATTTTTAAATTCGGTCCAGCCATTTTTGAGAGAATTCTGAGAAAAGGTCTCAAATCGACTCGCACTCACTCATACATATTTTTTTCCAAATATGGTCTCATTCGATTCAGAATGACTTGAATCGTCGAGAAGACATAAATTAGAAAAAAACAAACTTCTCTCTCGGAAAGTCTATAATAGAGCTGTTTCAACGATAACAGGGCTATCGGCTCGTCAATCACAGATATTTTCATTCAATCCTTTTCCAATCAAAGTGAATTAATGAATGTTGAATCGACCCAATTCCTTAAAATGCAATGTAAATTAACGAGGCCAGAAGAGCGATAGGTGCAAACGTATCGAACATCGCCCACGGGCGTCAGTTTTTGCTTTCGGTGCATAATAAAGCAAAATCGCTGAACTGTGACACTGAATCGTTGAACGTTACTGTCAGCGACAGGCTCGCATTATCCACCCAGAAGATATTAATAGAGTTGTTTTTGAATAGATTTGCATATTAGGTCACTTCAGATTATTTGTATTTTCACACTATTTGTTTTTGTTTACACACGACATACATCATGCTGAAATATATCATTCCAGAACACATCATTCAAACTGGGAAAAATAACTTTATAAAAATAGCAATATGTCTAATGAAAAATATTGAAAAACTGATAGTATAATTTATCATACTATGACAAAAAATTTAGTTAATATTCTCAGTTTTATTACTAGATTATTATTAGATTGTGAAAATATTTCAAACAAAATATTTATTTATTTATTATTTTTATTAGATGATTTTCATAAAGATCACAAAAGAAAATATTTACAAATATTTTTGAAAATCATATCTTTGGAAAATATTTAGAATCCGCAAGCGGGGCGTTGTTGGACAACTTGTTGAGCAACAGGGGCAACAACTTGTTGGGCAACGGGGGCAACAACTTGTTGAGCAACTGGAGCTACGACTTGTTGGGCAACAGGGGCAGCAACTTGAACAACTGGGGCAGAAACTTGTTGGACAGCTGGGCCTTGGTATTGAACAGCTGGCACGACGTATTCTTGCACGTTTGGTACTTGGTAGACAACAGGAGCAGCAACGTTTTGGTGGAAGATCACTTCTTGTTGTTGTGGTTGTTGGAAATAAGCGGGGCCTTGTTGGTAGACTTGTTGGACAACTGGTTGAACAGCAGCTTGGACAACAGGGGCAGCTTGGACAACAGGTGTTTGGTAGACGTATTCAGTTTCGCAGCAGCATGGGGCAGCTTGTTGGATGATGACGGGTTGAGGTTTAGGTTCAACGACGACGGTTTCGACGACTGGTTCAGGTTCAACAACGACGGTTTCAACAACAGTTTGTTGTTGGGGAACAGCCAAGTTGAAGACGGTGTAAGAGGTGGAGTGAGAAGTGGGGTTGTAGGTGGCTTTGTCGTGGACGTGGACATCGGGAGATGGCACGACTTGGACAATGGGTTCAACTTGGACTTGGACGGGTTGAACTTGTTGTTCAACAACAATGGGTTGTGGTTGGGGTTTGGGGCAGCATTGTTGGCAGGTGCGTTGGGGAATGACAATGGGTTGCACTTGTTGAACTGGTTGGACAACTTGTTGCACTGGTTGGACAACTTGTTGGTTGCATCCACAGCCGTTGTACAAAGGTACAGCAGCGGCGATCTGGAATTGAAATAACCAAAAAAAAATATTATAAAATATATAAAACTTTATTAATTTCAATTGGAAATCAAATTTTATTAGTGATTTAATGATACTAATAAATATGGTTGAGTTTGCCAGCTACTAAAAATATGAAAATACAATTAAATTTTTCACTTCACTAAAAAAAAATTATTATTTAATCACCTGAGCTACGAAAGCAGCGATAACGAAAGCACCGAAGAATTTCATTTTTGCTGGGTTTGTCACTCGAAACCAATTCGAAATGTACTCAAGCTCTCTACAATCATCAATTTATATAAATTCCTAATAAACAAACTACGTGAGATATTATATAAAATTTCAAAATAAATAATTCTACTAAGTATAGAATTGTTTTTTGAATTATTCCACCAAATTTGCAAAACGTGCTTTCATATGAAATATATTTTATGACGTCAAAATAATTTTCAATCAAAAACTTTAATATATAAAATTTTATATATAAACAATATTACTAATATTTGATTAATTTTTATTAATCATTTCCGCATAAATCAAAAACTTTAATATATAAAATTTTATATATAAACAATATTACTAATATTTGATTAATTTTTATTAATCATTTCCGCATAAATTTGTTTTTGAATATATATCTGTTACATATTCATCTATATTAATATTAAAAACATACTAATATGATAATAAATTTAACATGTCTGTCTTTATAATATCCAAAACTGCCATTGAAATGTTCTTCTTATTTACAATTCGTAACATACGCACTCCATGTATTATTATATAATGCATAATATGAAGTGATAGAACATCACGTATCTACTAATTCACATAAATAATAATTGTTTACAAGATAAACAAGGTTAATTTTTGGTGTAATTCGTTTTCATATAAATTCTTCAATTTGTTAGTTCATTGCTCAGTGAAGTCAAGATGAAATTCGCATCTGCATTTGTTTTTGCCGCAGCTTTAGTGCAAGTAAGTAGAATGAAATTTATTTCAATCAAATAATATTTACTTACAACTTTACTTTTCAATATAGTTTTTATTAAATTTTTAATTATTCGAATTGTTATAGTTTGCGGCTGCTTACCCTTACTACAGTGACTGCGGATGCAACCAAGCTGTCCAAACCGCTGTCGTCACCCCCGTAGTTCACCAACAATTGGTCGCTCAACCCCAAGTCTTCGTCGAACACGTTCAACCCAGCTGCCACAAACAAGTTGTTGTTCAACCTCAACCCCAACCAATCATCATCGAACGTGCTCAACAATGCTGCCCTAAACCCCAACCTCAACCCATCGTTGTCGAACAACAAGTGCAACCCGTCCAAGTCCAAGTTGAACCCGTCGTGCAAGTTGTTCCATCTCCTGATGTCCACGTCCACGACAAAGCCAACTACAACCCCACATCTCACTCCACCTCTTACACCGTCTTCAACTTGGCTGTTCCTCAACCCCAAACTGTTGTTGAAACCGTCGTTGTCGAACCTGAACCCGTCTGCGAAACTGTAGTGGTCGAACGTCAACCCCAACCTGTGTTCATCCAACAAGCTGCTCCATGCTGCTGCGAAACTCAATACGTCTACCAACCTGCCCCTGTTGTTCAACAACCAGTTTGCCATCAAGTACAAGAAGTTGTCTACCAACAAGTTGCTTACCAACCAGCTCCAGTTGTACAAAAAGAAGTTGTCTACCAACAAGTTGCCGCTCCTGTTGTCTACCAACCTGCTCCAGTTGTACAACAAGTTGCTACCCCCGTCGTCCAGGTAGCTGCCCCTGTAGCTGTTCAAGCTGCCCCCGTCGTTCAACAAGTCGCTGCTCCACGATGCGGATGCCATTAAAATAATTATAAAAGATTGACATTTGTATATTTGAAAATATACAAAAAATAGAATAAATAAATTTTTATAATATAGAATATGGTTTTTGATTTATTTGTCATATTTATATTTCTGATTGAATGTGAATTTTTCTTTCTATACCTTGATTAACATCATTTAAACATTTATTACATCAACAATTCTATATTTAAAATTATATATATGTATATATATATATATATATATATGTATATATATATATATATATATATATATATATATATTAAAACTAGATTTTTTGTAAAAAGCATCATTGAAAATTCTGTAAACTTATGTAACAATAGTTCATATTGTATATAAAAGATTATAGGAATTTTTTATGAATTTTACAAAGATGTGTATATATATATATGAATTATCAATTTTTTAAACAATTATATATTTTGAAGCAATAAACAATTGTTCATATAACATATCGAACACCGAAAAGTTCATATAAATAGCTTGCTTAAAAAAAAGAATGATTTTGAACATATGTATTTGAAAATCATTTCCAAATATAGTTATATAATTTATAAACTCTTAGCGAAAATTATAAATAATTAAATTAGTTTGTGTATAAACGTAATACTGCCATTTTAGCCGAATCAGCAAAAAGATGCATGTATGTCATTAACAATGAATTAAAACAAGATACTTCTTGATATATAATTTCTTGATAATTATATATCATATAATATATATAGTATATGATTTCTTGATTTTTAAAAACTCAAATTTAATAACGAAACTAGTGGGGTGTATGGCATTGTGCCTTAAGGCAAATTGCTCGAACTTCCCGTACCGTAACGAAATGTTCGAGAAATACTGAATGTTTTCAAATAGATTATTATAAATATTGTAACATTGTCTAATATTTATAAGAATTATATAAACTGAATTGCAAAGTTAAAATTATTTGTTTAAAGTATATTAGAACTTTAGTCAGAATTAAAAATAAAATCTGAATTATTTTCGATATACAAAAAAAAAAACTAGAAAAAAATGACACAAAATTTTGTTTTTTTCAAAATCAATTATTTTGTTTGCACTCTTCGCTCCGTATCTCTGTAACGGCTGGACCAGCCTTTGCCAAAAACTAATCAGCGCATCTCCCTATCAATAGGAATCGAATGTTTTTTGAAGCATTCAAATTGGTTGATCCGTGCGCCCGGAAACGTGGACGAAAAATTGTATCCATGCATACATACACACACACATCCATTTTTTCTGAGGTATTCCAAAATGTTCAGAAACCTTCAAAACGTCGAGAAATATAAAAATTTTCATTTCGATTTTCGGCCCATTACATAAACTTATCCTACGGGAAGTTAATTAATAATCTAATTTAAATATTATTCATTGCTATATAATTATAAGTTTTGTATCAGTAATGTGAAAAAAAAACATGTTTATTGTTTAATATTTTTTATTTAAATATTGTTGCAAACATTGCAAATGTCATGTTCAATAAATACATTTTATAAAACTAGTTAAATCTAAATTTTATATTTTAATACTTAATGCAATAACCACATGGGAAAATCACTTTCTTTCGGGCATGTTGGGCAAGTACAAGGCATGTTGTAATCCGTTTGGCAACCACAATCACATTGTGGGCTACAGTGGCAACCTGGCGGTGGGAAAAATGGCTGTGGATTTAACATTTCTGGGTCCTGATTTATTATTTGTGGGTCAATTGTTACTTGTGGATCTGAATCATCGTTTGTGGGTCTATATTCACAAACTCGGGATTTGCAAATTGTTGACAAGAATTTATCACCGGCAAGTTTGGACTTAGCATTTGTGGATTTGAATTCATAAACGCTGAATTTGCGTTCGCCAATAGTGGATTTGGATTTACCATGCTGGATTTGGATTTACCATTGCTGGATTTGGATTTACCATTGCTGGGTTTGGATTTACCATCGCTGGATTTGGATTTACCATTGCTGGATTTGGATTTACCATTGCTGGATTTCGATTTACCATTGCTGGATTTGGATTGTCATCATAGGATTAAAATTCACTAACGATTTTGCTGGATTTTGATCCCCAAATGGTACAAAGGCATTTTCCAAAGCTGGTTTTCGATTGACCGCAGGAGTATTAAAATGTCTAAAAGTTGGAGGATTTCTCAATTGTGAGTTGCGATTTACCATTGACGGATTACAATTTTCCATTGGTGGACGATTTTCATACTGTGGCCTGTGATTGATCAACGGTGGATTAGGCAAGTTGCGATTTGCCAATGGTTGATTTACCAAATGCGGATTCGTATTCTTCAATTGCCGATTATTATTCATAAATTGTGGATTAGGAGCTCGTACATAATTTACTGGTTGCTTGACATCAACATTCGATTTTGTGATGGGTTCCATATCCTGTGATTTTGGCGGTTTCTGTAAATTAAATGGAAATCTCTGCTGCGGAACCTGTGGATGAGGAGGTTGGTGAGGAATTTTAGGAATATCTGGTACATTTGGTATATTTGGAACATTTACTGTGTTTGGAATATTTGAAAGATTAGGTATATTTGGTTCATTTGGTATGTTTGGTGTTTTGGGTGTAAATGGAAAATTAATGTTATTCATAGATGCAGTATTTGGTAAATTATGTACCATTAATCTGGAGTTCTTGAAAGTCCTAGGTTCTGAAATGCCTGGGTTTTGATAAATATTGTTTCTGCGGTCTGGTTGCACATTTACATCATTTATAGAATTCGATAAATTTGGTGGTGCAGGTAATTTTGGTAACAGTTGCTTATTTGTATAACCTGATGGATATTTTGATTGAGAATTACATGCTGCATTTTGGGCTGATGCATTTACAACCGCCTAAAAATAAATTATTATGTTAAAATTAATTTAAATTTTGTTAAATTATAATAGTCTTTATATTCACCTGTATCAACACAAAATTTAAAATTAACCATATTATTTTTGTGTTATACATCATTTTTACAATTAAAATGAACTTATTGAATGCACTAATACGAATAAACCATAAAATGCTATTATATAAACTATTTATATAATAATATATATTTTAGTCCTTCATAATCTACAAGTTTATATTATTATTTTCGGAACTATTCTTTACGACGCTCTCGTTTTGTTTTCGAAAATTGTACGTGATATTTATGAAATTTTGCTTGGTCTATTTCCTGGGAACATTAGTTAGAAAACTTGTGAGAAAAAACTCAAAAACAAATATATTACTACGAAACAAACTCACTGGGTTTTATTTTTGCTAAATATCGGTTATACAATCTTCCTATTATATATCTGCATATCGAACAAAATTAAATATTCAAATACGATTCATCTATACCACAGTGAAAATGATTCGAATAATAATTAAAATATAAATTTACATAATAATTTAATTTTGATTAAAATTAGATTAGCATTCAGGCAATTAATTCATCGAATATTTTCATGTTTGTTATTCAGCAGAAATTAATCAAATCTGGAATATTGCAAACATAAACAGTATGTATATAATGCAAATCAAATATAGAAAATCCATTTATAAAGTTATAAATCAATTATATATCTAGCTAAAAAAAAATCCATTAAAGCTACTGTATTTTATATAGGCAAATATTAATATTTAGTTTTTAACTAATTTCTTAATTTATATGGCTTCAACCAAATGGTTATTAAGGTTATTAAAAATTCTATAATAATAATAATAACATGCAGATTTTTTCTCTATTAGTATAATAATATTTATGTTTTTTCGATAAATCAAAGTTTTATCAAGAAGCATTTTTACGTTTATGTGCTGATGTCATATTGGATGGGCTATTTTTGGATAAACTTGCCTTTACATCTTATTTTACCTGAAACATATAAGTAAAAATGCTAGAGAAAGAAGTCAAGTATACCTTCTATACAATCTAAGAATAGGCATCCAAGGACCGGTCCTGGAAACGCGTTTTATGCAAGAAATTGTATTATATGGGATGGGTACACAATATGTATCAAATGAATTAGTTTCCAGAAACAATTTTAAAATGCTATCAAAAATAATAAGATGAAAACAAAATTGTAGTTATTATTAAAATCTTTAAAAATATCTGATCATCTGATGTGCATATGTCTAATGATCATTTTTGACCGATGTTATAAGTGGCTAAATACTCAGAAAAAAATTTATAAAAAAAAAGAATTAGGAGCAGTATCAAAAAGAGTATGGTGATGAAATAAAACTTAAATGAGGAGGTTAAAAAGAAATTGTTAGTATATAGCTGAGCTATATATTTTCATAGCTTTTCCATAAAAACATGACAATATCAATAAAAATCGAGAAAAAGACGTCTGTCCGTCTATAATATAGGTGTTTGTCATGAAACCGTGTTTGGAGTTTCGAGAGAGGCATAGAAATCGCGTGAGTTCCATTCGCAGTAATCTCCCGGACTGACGTCACGCGTTTAGCTCCTCTGTTAGGAGATCGTTGTACGGATAATATTTATTCAAGCAATATCAGTCTGTACATAAAGCAGTGGCAGAAAATGAACCATCTTCTCTCATAAACACCTATATTTTTTTATAAACCTATATTTTCAATATGCGCGTAAAAAAACAGGCGAGGAGATGGATTTTGTAGCTTTTACGGGGTGCGAACCGATAACTTTTGTTGAAAAATATGGTTGTCGAGATGTGGATGGAAATTGCTGTTTAAACATTACATTGCAGCATTTGTAATGTTTAAAATTTTTATTACATACATTTTGTTGTCATTAGGCAATCTAAAAAATATGTATCCATTTGGCTTTCCTGTAACCCAAACAAATATTTAAACCAATTGAGTGAGGAATCTCCTACTCGAAGATCAAAAAAAGCCCATACGATCTTAAAGAAAATGTCAAAAAAGATATCTTGGATATAAACTTTTTGAAGACATAAAGACCAGCATATTGTCGTAAATAGTGTATATTATGATCGGCAATAAATATATATATAAATAAAAAAAAA